GGTGAGTGTAGATAAATGTCTCTCCATATATATCTTAAGGCAGAAACTACGATAGTTATTATATGAACTATTTATCTATTCAGTCCTTTGTTTGTAAGCATATTCATCTCTGATTAGTTCAGTGTTTTAAAAGGTAGGTTTTCTTATTCAGGAAAGTTGAGGCCAGCAGATCAGGAGATGGCTGCCGTTGAAAGATAGTTTATTATAATTTCCAAGAGTAGGGAATATGCTCCAGTGGTGGGGGAGGGGGAGGGGAGAGGGCACACAGAGATGTAATAGAGCTGGTCAGGAGCCAGAGAGAGCAAAGTGAAACATGGGTGAGAGCTTTTACTGTGGTTTCTGTGGGAAAGAATGGAGGTAGCAGGGTAAACAAATTTGGGATTGGCTGGTCTGGATAATTTCAGCAGGCTCTGGGGCACAGGAGCTGTCCCTAGTTGATGCTACCTGGCTCTGAGGTGATAAGGACAGGGGAATAGTAGCCCTGAGTACAATAGCCCGATAGAGGAGGTGGTGGCCATGTGACTCTGGACTGGTCGGTTTTCATATGAAAGGAGTGCTTGAAGGAGAGTCATTTGTAATAGCTAAGAATCGACCATTCCTGAGAAAGGCAGTTTCTCCAAGGTCACCAGGTACCCAGATGTCAAAGCATCAGAACTACAGAAAATAAAATGGCATGGTTAACACACTCCTCATGCCAGACATTGTGCTGGAACATACAACACACTTATTAGTGAATAATTTAATAAGATCAGACCTCTACCCTGGAAAAACTTATATTCTAGTAGAATAGAAAGTCACATTAAGTAAGAACTAATTTCAGTAGAATGTGGAAAGTTATGTGCTGTGGTAGTGATAAAGATCAGGTGCTAAATTCATTGATGCATTTAAGGACCCAACGTGGGTGTGTAATGTTAGAAACACTGTTATATCTTACTATAGTCCAAAAAATGCAAAGCCATTAATTACTTGTACCTTTCATCAAATAATTCTCTACATCATTTCTTAGAATATGCTTAACCCAATCACTAAATATACAAAACTTTCATTTCACCAAAAACTTTAGAATCCTAAATCTTTATAACTAGAAAATCTCATCCCCTCAGATGAGGAACCTGAACCAGAAAGGCTAAATGACTTTCCTAAAGTCACAGTTGAGCTTCTTTGTTCAGCTTTTAGTAGTTCCAATGTGCAAATCATAAATTAAACACACATTAATCTAAATATTGGCCCTGGAACCATGCTGCTTTTTTGTTGCTAAAGGGAGTCTGCCATCTAAATATTTGCAGTTTTTCCCCAGCCTCTTGAGTCACACCACAATTTAACAACATAGAACTGGTCACTTGACAGGTACTTCCATCAGTAACAATTTGACTTTACCTGATAGTATCAAAGGGAGAGCATAACTCGTGTTAATTATTATACTTACCGTCTGATTTAGACTGATTTAGTCTTTTCTCTGTGCTATTTCTTCTATACCTTACAATCTGAGATGCTTTTTAAATTTTATTCACAGAGCTGGAGAACAAAAAGCATGACTATTAGAAAGCAAAAATTAGGTCAGCCTAATGGTTTGCAAGCACCAACCATTTCATCATACGTAATTGTTGAAGATACTATGTCAGAAGATGAAATAGATGTTAGACTGTTGCAGAAAATGCATTTGTTGCCTTAATCTCTGCCAGTATTAAAATATATTTCCAGTATTTTATCGTGCTTACTGATTTTCTTCAGCCTTACACTTATCATCATTGCTCAGATTATAATTGTTCTTATTTTTTAAAACTACAGGTTCTATAGGATTAATATGCTAAAAAAGTTTTCTGCAACTACACATAGGATGTTAGTAGATGCTAAAAGAGAAAGACTATAGTCAAATAAGTGCTAGATTAGACATATTAAACAAATTTATTTTCTGCAGGACTTCTCAGGGCCTTTGATAAGAAAATATGAATTGCAAACATCAAGAAGTGATATGTAATATGTAGCATCTTCCAAATTTAGTGGTCCACAGATCCTTCACTATAAATGCATTAGGCCTCAAATAGTAATAAAAGGAAGCAACACAGAAGATATGAAATGGTATATCATCAATTGTCAATGCCGAAATTTGTTGAGTATAGATAGAGGTGGGAGAAACAAACAGAACCCAATTTTGCATGCACTTATATGCAAGGGTCCAGAAATACAAAACATAAAATATGGTTACGTTAGAGAAGTGAATAAACTACATGGAGAGCCAGGACTCTGTGATGCAAGTTAGTGGGATCCAAACATAATAGACCAGAACTTCTTAACCTTTTATGTGCACATGAATCACCAGAGGAATCTAAACTGATTCAGTAGATTTGAGATGAGCATCAAGATTCTGCAATTCTAACAAGCTCCCAAATGATGCTGGTGCTCTTGGTCCAAGGATCACACTTCAAAGAGCAAAAAGAGCAGGAGTTGGCAAACCTTTTCTATAAAGTTCATATAGCAAGTATTTTAGCATTTGTGAGCCATATAGTCTGTTGCAACTACTCAGCTTTGTCATTGTAATGCAAAAACAGCCAGAGACAATATGTGAATGAATGACCATGGTTGTATTCCAAAAAAAACTTTATTTATGGATGATGAAAGTTGAACTTTATATAACTTTTGTATGTCACAAATTTTTTTTTATTTTTTTTTCCGAACATTTAAAAATATAAGCTCGTAGACCATATACAAACAAGCAGGGTGCCTGCAGGCTCTAAGTTTGCTGAGCTGAGTTAGAAGTCCAGATACCACAGGCTCCCTTGGGGAGATGGCAGAGGTTTCTCTATGAAGCATATCTAACCAAAGCAATTTATCTTTCTCTCTTTTAAACCTTCATAGCATTTTTTCATGCTTCTTTTTCCTTCTATTAGTTTGTATCTTCTTCATGGAAGATAAAATAAAACTCTAATGGGTAGTACAAACAGATAAACTCCTCAGCTAGTTTCAGAGTGTACCAGGTATTCTTCCTACCACTGTGGTATGTAATGCAATACCTTCCATGTAGAAGATGCCAAGCAAGCATGCGTTTGATTGAATTTAATCTGTTGAAAGAGCCTTTCTCTTGGCTGTAAAGAAGCGTAGCTCCTGGATGGGATTAATGGAGAGACTAAGAGAATTCCAAGGAGGGGGAAAGTAGGCAGTTAATACATAAGGGCTGTGTCAGGGACAATAAATCTATGCCAAGAGTTGACAGAAACAGGATTAGTATGAGAAAACAATAGAAAATAAAATTGGGGTTAAGTTATATATAAGTCAATACAGATCTGAAATTTAGGGGATGATATAAGTAGAGAAGAGTTTCAAGAGCTTTAATCTGGTACAGCAGTGGTCCCCAACCTTTCTGGCACTAGAAACTGATGCTCCTCTGAGAATCTAATGCCTGATGATCTGAGGTGGAGCTGAGGTGGTGATGCTAGCACTGGGGAGCAGCTGCAGATACCCATGTGGCTTCACTGGCTCGCCTGCCACTCACCTCCTGTTGAGCGGTCTGGTTCCTAACAGGTCACAGACCTACTAGCCCACAGTCTGAGGGTTGGGGACCCCTGTGGTACAGGATATAGAAGAATTCATAGTTTACTGGAGGTGAAGAGGTCAATTGTAAAACTTAAGATCAATTAAAACTTAAGCCACAGTCAGTTCTCATGGTGAAGATCTAGACCATGACTCTGGGAAAAGGAGAACTGGAAGATGGCTCCAGGCTGGAATGCTCTCTTGGACGTTATGAAAACAAAGGAAACCCCAAATGCCTTAGAATCAAGAAATACAGCCCTTCTGAATTGCCTCAAAAGTAATACATATTTCAGTGTATAGGATGCTCAGTTGGCTGGGGGTTTTTTATTGTTTTTTTAATTCCCAAAGTCATATCTGTTCTTTTCTGAGTGTCCCGTATTTGTTTTTTAATGTAGTTTCTGGAGTTAATACTCTGAGTACTAGCAAACAGATTTGTTTTATTCATATTATTTACAGATTAAATATAGACACATAGCAATATTATGCTATCTCAATAGAGAAAAAAGTTAGTCTTCAGGGCCATGTTTTCACAAAGAGTGCCAAGTCCAAAGAATTTTCTAGAGGTTAGACTCAGAAAATCTCCAAGTGCTGATTAAGAATTAAACAGACAATATAGTCCCAGAGACTTCAATCCTTTTAGTTATAAGTGGCACATTCCTACATATTTCTTTAAAAATAAATCACACTATGAGAGGAGTTTGGGGCAGCTTCATATTTTTTGTAAAATTCCTCTGTTGAGAGTTTGAGGTGCTGGGGGAATAAAGGAAAGCGTGTGAGAGAGAACGCGGTTAAAACAGTCTGGCAACTTACAGCCTCCCACACCAAGGTCCTGGTTGTTTGGGAAAGGAAAAGCGCTGACCAGCAAGAATGAATTACAGCACGACTGCTCCATCTCTTTAGTTGTGGAGGCCAAGCAGTCTGCTAGAAAGTTTTGTAAATATCAGAAATGTGGAAGGCATTAAATCTGTTATTGCTCAGCTGATCAGAAGTCTTAGGGTCAACAAAAATATTGCTGCCTATGATTTTTTAATGTGATGATTAGTTTCCCTTGATACATTAGATATTTTGAGCATAACGTTTATATTACTTTCATATTTTTCTTTAGATAAGAATAATAGATAAAATTGTAATAAATGTAAGAGTCATTTATTATAAAACATTTTATAAGACACTTTGAATTTCTGTTCTTTTTCTTTTGTAACCGAGATTGTCTTTCCAGCTTTGACAGTGTCACTTACATCAAGGTTGATAAAATGGACAAGATGCTTTACAAAGAAAACCTGTGGGAATTGTCTAGTCGTTAATTTCATGGTTTAAAATGTAGTTTCCCTCAGTAACACAGTTGTTTTTTTTTTTTTTTAACCAAACAAGCATCTTATTACATAGCATCTAGCCTTGTACTTCTTTATTATTTTAAACATCACCATTTCCTTTTTTTCTCTCCTGTCCTTTGACCTCCATGTGGCCTGCAGATGGTTCTGTGAGGGGAGGGAGCTGCACAACACTCCTGATATTCAGATCCGCTCTGAGGGCGGGGACCTCCACACCCTGATCATAGCAGAAGCCTTTGAGGACGACACAGGTCGCTATACCTGTCTGGCTACGAACCCCAGCGGCTCGGATACAACATCTGCTGAGGTGTTTGTTGAAGGTAAGGAGAGATGTGTGGTGAGGGAGTGTGGATGGTCTGACAGCTTGCGTATCAGCAAGGCTTCATTGCGGATGAGCTTTTCCAGTGCAAACAGCATAATGGTGGTGTGATTCAAACCTCATTTCTCCTGAAAACTAAATAAATCGAGCATTTCTGACACTTAGGCATACGTCAACCATGTCTAATGTCAACATTTGTTCCTTTTAATTCAAAACATTTCAGCTACATTAACTTGAATTTACTTAAAATGTAAATTACTCAACTTATTTTTGGTTTTCTGTACTGAATAAATAAAGGGAACATATTGAAATACCATATCCATCAACCAAAGTTACTGCAGATGTCTTAGGAAATCATTCACGAGAATGATTGGGTATTTTTAAATGTTCTTATTTTTATTCTAGAATATTTCCTCTCTTGTTAAACTCTGTTATTCCTGTTTAATGTCCTGTGAACTGAAAATCACTAGGTAAAAAAATTTCAAGAATTATGTTGCCTTAAAGTGGGATAGGCAGAGAGTAGAATATTTCTATTGCTCTGTCAATTCATTTTTGAGAAGACTCAACTTATAGGGAATTAGAAAACTTGATATTAAAGTGTATAGCTTTACATTATTATTGTATTTTGATCAGTACCAGTAATTTAATGTGGAAATGTGTTTTAAGCACTGCTGTGTTCATATTCTTATTGTCCCTAAATCCATAAGTTGATGGTTGCTTTTCAAAACAGTAGAAAATATAGAAAAATGTAGAACATATATAAAAATAAAAATCCTGAGGTCTTCACTACCTTAATCTTCATCTTTTTTACTATTTTTTTTACTGTTTAATACCACCAAATTATTAACGTAGAAGCAAATTATTAACGTATGAACCATTATTTATAGAACTGACAAAAAAAATTTAGTTTTAGAAGTAACTTACCACCAAAAGTGCGTGCCTTCTAATAAAAGCTTCTTCTGCATTGTCTTTGAAGGCAAACGTCTGTGAGCTTCTTGAGGGACCTTGTCCTGTTAATTAAAGCAAGCATTCTGTATATAACAGTACCTAATTACCTACATGAGACTTATAAATATACACATATACATACATAATCATTTAAATGTCACTGTAAGCCTATACAGTATTATTTGTATTCTCTTTTTACAAGCAGCTAAACTGAGACCCAGAGAAGTTAAAGGGACTTGTTCAAAGTTACATAAGGCTTTAAACCCAGGCAGTCTCACTCCTCCAGGGCCCATATGCTTAACACAATGTCACACACACACATCAAAGTGCTAAATTATTAGAAAAAGATTGACAGAGATTTTCAACACTTAATAAGTTAGCCGTAAGCATCAGTCTTGGGTGGGCTGTGTAATAAACTTCTTGAAGTGTTTTAGAATACAATAAAGGGAACTTAAACTTCCATTAAAAACCTGTTCGTTAATGATCAGATTTGTCTCCCAAATCCAAGTTCAAATAGAGCATCTTAAAATTAAACTCTTTGCTTTCATCATTACTAGAAATGTGAATTTTAATGTATATTGCTTAAATACTACAGATGTTAAATGAAATTACATTAGTTTAAGTGATAGTCTATCAACTCAATTTGGCCAGCATTTTTAAGGCCCTACTATATGCCAGATACGCAGGTACAAATATGATTAAGACACAGTTCATGATATCAAGGAGTCCCAATCTAAAAGAGATGAGCACGTTAAAAAAATATATATAAATAAATATTGTAATAAGCGATATAATAGAAATATATAAAGTGTTATAAGGGTACAGATGAACTCAAAGATTAACTATAGGATATATAAGCTAGACTCACTTTTCATATAAAAAAAAGAAAAAATTTCTCTACTTCTGAAACCAGTTTTAGTATCTAAACCTGGCAGACCCAAAACATTCACAACATGGTCTTTAATTTTATTTAATTGAATTTGGTTCTTCTGTGAGAAGCTTCTGAACCACCAGTCCTCTTCTGACTTTAAAATCATCTAGGTAAGCTACTCAGTATGGGAAAAATATACCTCTAGTTCTATCTGCCACATATATTTTGTGCCCTGAAAGTCAACAAAGATACTGGATTTTTTCCAATGCACAGTTTCTCACATGATAACACTGAACTTAATTACCCAACCAGCCATGGGATATCTGTGACTCCAGGTAGGATAAGGAAGCTGGACAGAGCAAGAACAAAGAGCCATTAAGATTCAGTCTCCTATGCCTAATATAAAATGCTTTAGAAACTAGCCCATTGGCCTATGAAATATGGATATTTTTTAAAAATCCTTAGAGATTTCAGTGTATTCTTATCCCTAAGAACTTCAGATAAACGCTTATGCCATTATGACTGAAAGTAAGAAATATTTATATTTACTCATCTAGCACTAAATTAGACTCAGTCATATCACTATTGAATTGTTTCCTGATGCATGTTGTTGTTAATATGTCAGCATGCAGTCATTGGTGGCCTATCAGAAAGCGGGGAGTTTTCTATAGAATTTAAAAATCTAAACAAAGCCTTTCCTGAAAGTTTAACGGCCTACTAGTTGGAAACTGTCTAAATTTTAGTTGTCTCATGCATCAAGTTTTAGAATGATACAGAAGAAATTATAGCTTAAGAACAGTAGCACTTCATTTTTGTGTGGATTACCTCATTTAATCCTTACAAAAATCACCGCCACATATGGTTGAAGAAACCGAAGCTTATAGAGGCTAAGTAGTGCCTAATATCACATCATACTCCCCCCACCGCCTCCACACACACAGTTCAGGATTTCAACACCACACAGTCTGACTCCTGAATCTGCCCTCATAACCACTAAGAGTAAAATGTAGATGAACTCATTACTGGGACAGCTGTAATCCTTACCTTAATCTAGTAGCAAGATTTAGGATCTGAGCACAGCATTCTTGAAGGCACATAATTGAGCCCTCTTTAGTCATGCAGCAGGTATTTACTGAGGGACTGCTGTACGGCAGGCAGTGGCCTACACAGGGGCACATTTGTGAACAGGACAGGCCTGTGTCCTCACTGCACTGACACTCCAGAAGAGGAGGGAGAGTAAACTAGTCAACTCATAAATAATTCCTACACCAGCAAGTGCTGGGAAGAAAATAAAGGTGGCCGATGGGATAGGGTAATCAGGGAGGCCTCCCTGAAGAGTGGGCATTTGATCTGAGACCAGAACCCTGAGAAGAAGCCAATAGGAAGACTGGGAAAAGAGTGCTTCAGACAGCATGACCTAGGTGGGAAGACCAGATGTGTTCATAGACTTTTAAGATCTATTCTATTAGCAACTTTCAAACATATAATACTGTATTATTAACTACAGTCGCCATGCTGTACATTACATGTCTAGGACTTACTTATTTTATAACTGGAGTTTGTACCTTTTGACACCCTGCACCCATTTCACCACCCCTCACAATTCCCCGCAGACCCCCACCCCACCTCTGGCAACTACCAATTGGTTCTCTGCATGAGTTTGGGTTTGTGCTTTTTTTTGTTAATTCAACACATAAGTGAGATCTTATCCTATTTGTCTATCTTTGTCTGACTTATTTCACTTAGCATAATGCCTTCAAAGTCCATCCATGTGATTGTAGATAGCAGAATTTCTTCCTCCTCCTGGCTGAATAATATCCGTGTGTGTGTGTGTGTGTGTGTGTGTGTGTGTGTGTGTGTGTGTGTGTGACATTTTCTTTATCCATTCATCTATTGCTGGACACTTAGGTTATTTCCATGTCTTGGCTATTATAAATATGGCCGTAATGAACATGGGGATCCAGATATGTTTTTCAGTTAGTATTTCGTTCCCTTTGGATAAATACCCAGAGTGGAATTGTTGGATAAGATGATTTTTTTTTTTTTGCAGTTTTCTTTGTTTTCTTGTTTATTTTCACACCAGAATTAATAGAGTATGTTTGTATGCTAATGAAAATAATCCAGGAGAGAAAACATAGATCATGCAGAAGAGAGGGAGAGTAAGACAGAGAACAAAGTCTTTGAAAAGGAAATGGAATCTGGCCCACATGAGTGCTGGGTGGTGAGGGGGGTGGGTACCCTCAAGGGCTAGATGGCGAAGAAATATTCTCAAGAATTTCATGATGTGAATAAGAAATGTAAACATCCGAAATAAATATAGACATCTCAAGTCTCCACCACTGCTCCCCTCCTGATTGCAAAATGGATTCCACAGATGATTATAGCTGTAGGCCCTCCAAGTAGGGGAGAACGGTGGTTCTGAAATGTGGGACGAAAGAAGGCGGATTAAACTGGACCTTGTGGATAAGGATTTGGATTGGATGGAGAGGAGAACAAGGCAGCATTTAAAGATAGGGAAGGGGGCACCAATAATCAAGCTTGATGCATGAGATTCTGTTTGATATTTATTTATAAGCTCTCAGTGCTTCAAATAATCAGATAAAATGTGTACCCCATTTAAGTCACTTTTAGAAGTGTGCTGTGATGTTACGTGAATAGTTGCTCCTGTTGACTCCTCAGGATAAAGCCTCTCTGAGTATTAGGTTTGTTCCTTTTACTGGATTTTGAAAATGCTAAGAGAAGCTGAAGGAGTCTATGCACAGCTTTGGCCATTCTTTCACAATATTCTCTGACCACCTCCATGACCTTAAATAGTCATTCACGGCTCTATAATTCAGTTTCAACATCTCCACGAAGAAAATCAGATTGTTTTAAGGATTGAATAAGTGAGTTCCCTAGAGTGGCACCTGACCATAATGTGCGCTTTCATTACTATTGCAAAAACACATTTTCATTTCTAAAAATCTATAACATATAGGTAAAAAGAAAATATAAAAATTATGTGTAACTTTACTACCCTGTGTCAGTCACTCTTAATATTTTTATCTTTCCAGTCTTTTCCTTATGTGTATGTATTTTACTCTGTATACCCTTTCATACCTTTTTTTTTAAAACATAACTTATTTTTTTTTAAATTGTTGAGGAACCAAGAAGTTAAGTAGTTTGCACAATCATATAACTAGAAAGCAGTGATGACAAGATTTGCACTCATGTTTTTTGAACTTGTTGAATGATAATTATTGTGCTGGTAATTAAAACAACTGAGAAAGAAGGGAGAAAAATGAGTAACACAAATGGAGGGCAGAGTGTATTTAGTTCTTAAATTTTGAAAGGTAAAATGTGCAAAAAGATGAACTCCATGACTAGATTCATTAAAGTCACTCAGGGCTTAATATACACAAACACACACACACACACACACACACACACACACACACACACACACAAAATATATATATATACAAACATGTATACACATAATTTTTTAATGGTCGATATTTGCTTTCAAGAAGACTTCCTATTTCCTAAATTTTAAGCTATATGATTTACATCTAATCTGCTTTCACTCAGAAATTAAAGCTTTTTTAATCAAGGAAGGTAGAGTGAAAAAAAAATAATTAAAACTGATTTCATGAGTATATGGGAAATGGACATTTCGATATATTTCTACTTTACATACCTTTTTGTTGAAATGTTAAAAAATGGAAGTAATAAATATATCCATTAACATTATCCAGTGGAATGATAAAATTATGATAAACCCACACAAATAAATTTGAAGCAGCCACTGAAAATTATAAAGTCCTTGTTTATTTATTGAAATAGGCATTTCCCAATGTATTATGTAGGGAAGGGGCAATAATGGAATAATATTACAGTTTTGTTGTCTTTAAAATATATTAGTTATATATATACATGGGGATATACTCTAAAGTATCTGGGTAGTGGTATGCCAAATGATTTTTTTTCTTTAGTTTTTGCTATCGTACATTTGGTGGGTCTTTTCCTACAAGTACGTTTTCACAATGGAAAGGGAACACTTTTTAAAGTCAAAACAGGAGGCTCATTTTTATGATACTTCCACATGCATGCCATCACTGGAGTGGAGTGAAGATCATTGGCATTTGATTACTTCACTCTGTTGGGAGGCAGTATAGAAATAGTTAGCATTTAGGCAGGTAAATATTTGATGAGCAGATATAGTAATTGCAGGGGCTGGAACGTATGTCTCTTTCAGGTGGGCACCTACATAAAACACTGGAAGTGATGTTTTAATAAATACAGAGAAAAATGTGAATCTGAGACCTGAGTGTTGTTTCCTGACCAGCAGGTGCAAAGCAGGTGACTAAAGGGAGGAGGCGGAAGAGAAGGAGGGAAGGGTCGCCCGGAGGGGAGGGGAGGGAACTTGCTGGCACAGATGGGGAGATTTGATCTGATGCTGTCTGCAAGAGCTGCTGACACCTGAGACAGAAGGTGACATTGAGATTTCACAAGGGATTTGACAGGTATGTGAAACTGGTGAACATATTCAGGGGACAGAACCTTTTTCATCCCTGACCTTTTTTTCCTTTAAAATCAGCTGGAAAAAAAAGGTAGCAAAAAAGAATGAAAAAGACAATGGCTTCCTAAATAGAGATAATCAGAGTTTTGTTTTGTTTTGTTTTTAATGAATTAAATGTTTGGAATCAGATGAAAATACCTCCTTCTCTCCCCATTGTCTGGCCACTTTGAGAGCCACCTTGCCATCCCTCTCCTCCTCCTCAACACTCTCATGATTCTTGGAAAATAGATCTCTCTCAGGTTATCATGACTTTCTGATAACTGAGTCTGCTGGTATTTCTGTTTCCACTGTTCAGCTTCCCCCACCTCCTCATCGTGGTTAAAAGTTTCTCCTTGTCTGTCACCTAATTTAGATGGCTCACTGTTTATTTTGCTCTGTTTTTTCCCCCCTACTCCCTCAGTTCATCCTGCACAGTTAATTTTCCACATCACCACTCTCAGTGCCTAAAGCCCAAACACTTTGGCCCTGGTATTCCAGGTTCTACCCTGTGTTTCTAGACTTACCTCCCATCAGTGTTTCCCCCAACACTCTGCTCTGCTGTCGTTGCACGGTCCACTCCCTGTCCCCAAACAAGCTTTGCCGTTCTCTAGTTCCATCCATTCATTCTGGTGAGAAGTTCAGGCCCTCCACGAGCAAGGCTTGAAACTAAGCTCTGGAGGAATACAGACATGCACTGCACGTGAAAGTCATATGGTATGGGGAAAGTCATGGAGCATGAGTTCAAAAAACACAAGTGCAGATCCCGTCACCACTGCTTTGTAGTTACGTGACCTTATGCAAATTACTTAACCTTTTGGTTCCTCACATTTTTTTCACCTGTAATTGAATATAACTCTCCTGTGAGTGAAGTTCATTATTATAATAATTAAATGCTATAAACTGCCTAGCAGACTGTCAGGCAAATAGTAAGTACTCAAAAATCGGTAGTTCCCTTTCTTAACACCACTTGAGTTCTCAAAGAACTTATAATTTTCTAGCAGATGCAATATCATAAGTGATGTGAGTAGTATAAACAAGAGTGTTTATACTACGGAGAAGACAGAGCCCAGAAAAGTGACTGGGCTGATCTCAAAAGATAGACTATCTGGAGTTTCCCGCCAGAGTGAATAATATAACTAAAGTTCCCATGATGAGAAAAGATCCAGAAGGGAAAGCCCTTACCGACTTTGGATCTTTATTTGAAGTCTCCATCTTGGTGGAGCCTTCCTTACCGTCTTACTGAAAATTGTATCCCGCTGCATTCCCATTGCTCCCAGCACTGTGTTTTTCCATGTCACTCACCACCATATCATGTATTCATTTACCTCGTCTGTTGTCTGTGTTCTCAAAAGAATGTAATCTCCGCAGAGGTAGAGGTGTGTGTGTGTGCTTCACTGCTGTGTTCCCATTACCCAGCGGAGTATACACCAGGGAGTATGTTTAACGCTCTGGATTAGGGTTATGGGATGTAGAAGGGCAGGAGGTTCTAGAAGACAGGAAAGTTAATCTGCCATGGGTTGAAGACAAATTTGATAGAAGATAAGACTCTATTGTGGTAGTCCAGGACCTAGGTGAAGAAAGCCTGCACTAAGTGGTAGTTATAGAACTAAATAGGAAGGGACAGCGAACATTCCAGCAGAGTTACTTAAACATGACTGTCAACATCAATAAAAGGTTGGAAAAACACAGTATAGTCACAGAAAGGAACACTAGGCAGCCATCCAAGAGAATTAAGTATCCATGTATATTCTAAATGTATTGATAGGCAAAAATAACTAATTGAAAAGAGTATATATAGTGTGATTCCATTTGTATAAGTATGTACATAAGTATGTGTATGTTGATACATTAAATTTACCTGAAAAATGCATACCAGACTGTTAACATATGCCGAATGGCATCAGGAAAGGTATCCACTGATCTTTGCTATTCTATCACACAATTCTGTGCTATTTGGTTACTTTTCTGTAAGCAAGTATTTTAAATTAGAGCATTTTAAATAGATAATTTAATTACCACAAGTTAACTATGCCTCATAAAAGAAATATCAAGAATATACTCCTAATCATCACAGTTATCTTAAATGTCATCTAAAATCTCTTGTCACAAAATACGTGAGCATTAAAATGTAAGTGTAATTTGCTTGTTAACTAAAAATCTGACCCTTAATTCAAAAACCGTAATGAGGCAAATGAATGTGGGAGGCGTGATCCAAAATCAGAGACTCTTATTCAAGAATGAAGCCACCCACTATCATGTTCTAGTTTATCAAAAAGTCAGAAAGCATTTCCTAATCAATGAGTAACGAAGACATTAATAAGCCACACCATGTAATCTCCTAGGAAGAGTTCAAAGTTTAAAACCATGGATGTTTTATACATACACACACATTTATTTCATAGTTTATAAGTCATTTAAGCATATGGTTGTGATGACTAAAGTGATAAAAATGAAACTAATAATAAATCTGGCATTAAAAACATGTTGCTTTGAAGAAAGTTTTTCATGGTAGTTCTTTTTTTAATATGATTTTCTGAAGATACACTCCAAGTAAAAATGATCTGAACCATTCTCTATTTCAGAAAAAGACTTTACATGTTATTCTTTAAAGATGAGCATTACTCTTTGATGTAATTATAGATTCTACTTACATTTTTATTATTTTTAACTCTCTCAGGTGCCAGTTCAACAGATTCTGACAGTGAAAATATAGCTTTCAAATCAAAACCTGGAGCTATGCCACAGTAAGTACCTATGATTCCATCAGTTATATAGCAAAGAATGTCAGAATTGTTGGGATAGGAAGACGTGCATGTTGTGCTTTGAAGGAAAATGTCGACCATTGTCAATCAAAGATCAAATACTTGAACTTGGAACACAGTTTTTAACTTATGAGTTTGAACTTTGAAGTCTGCATTTCTCATCGCTTTGCCACTCTCTAACCATATTCAGTGTTAATTTCAAAGACAACTGACTGGTTATAAATGTGTAAAACATTTGTATAAATATTCATCACATTGAGAGAAAATTTGTTAAATCACTACTAAAATGTAAATGAGGATCAATTTATTTATACAAATTGGAAAAATATCTCATTAGGCCAGAAATGGGTTTCTATTTGGATAAAGTCTATTTCCAATTAGATCTGGTCTTGAAAATTTATCAAAACTTTTTCCTACAAGAACATGGATTATTAGTAAAATATTAATATCTTAATACTTTGCCAAAATCAAATAAAATCTGCCAGAATTTTGTAGAAAACCATGAATTTTGAGTCTGTGTCACTAAGTTCCTTTGATCTGCCAGTATGTACATAACAGTTATATCCATTCAGCATCAATTAATCACCAAGTATTAATGCTGAAGGGACCTTGATAAAATCATATATGTACTCTACCACCTCTCGTTTTAGATAAGGATGTCGTTTAGCGAAGTTGCGTGACTTCATGAGTACACAGCCAGCGATTAAGCAAAACTAGGCCTCGAAACCAACTCCCCTTAACCTTTCTTTACACTTCACTAACTTTTATGAACTAAGAAAAGACAAAAATTCTAAGACACTCTCAACTTAACAAAATTAGAAGCCAGAACAAAGAACAGCTGCTACACTTAAAATAGACAACCAAAACTTTGAATTAAATATAGGGTCCTAACCCTAAAGATTTCAAATATCTGCTTACTGCTAAAGAGTGGACTTTTTCTAAACATTTTCTTTTCTCTTAGAATTTTCAAATTCAGTACTTTAGGTTCTCTGATAATAACTGAGTTATATACAGCTACTTTTGTCCATGCGTTTATTTTGCTAATATCTATTAGGTCCTTTCTATGCATTTCTGAAGCACTTACAGTGAAGTGGATTAAGTACACACACCAAAACTGGGCTAATCGGTGGAAATGTTTTAAAGAATAATTCCTGTTTTAAAAAAATTGCCGCTGAACACTTGCCTCCCTATTTTCCAGAGCTCAAAAGAAAACAACTTCAGTTTCCCTGACAATAGGATCATCGTCTCCAAAGACAGGTGTGACAACAGCTGTGATTCAGCCATTATCTGTCCCTGTTCAACAAGTAAGTGTGCCTTGGACCAGTGCCCACGAGGAGTCGAACTGATTAGCAAACTTCTTGGTTTAAAGAATATAGTTTTGATTTTAAAAAGTCTAAAGAATATATCTTTAATTTTAACTAGTTAACACCCTTGAAATTGTTTCTGAGTGAAAACACAACTGGGAGAAAAGAAAATGATAGATAAAGTCCTCCTTTTAATCCATTAAAAGTAACCTTTAATCGAAGCCACACCACCAATTAGTCATCATGTGCTTTTCCATTGGGAACTTCCCTTTCTAACATCCAACAGTCTGACAGGATGGTATCTGATTTAGCTATGAGGATTTGATGATTCTTCTACATTTGTGCTATCTTCCATTTAGCCACATTTATTAGTTGTTTAAACAAATGGGAAGACAAGAGAAGTTCACATACCAACAAAAGTTTTCTCATCCTCTAAGCGCTAAGCAGGTAATAAGAAAAAAAATTCAATTTTTTTTTTTTACTTCACCATGCATTTTTATATTGCTTTTGTTTCATTGTAAGACTGCTTTATCCAAGAAAGTACCATGCAAACTACTGGAAACAAATAGTAATGATTTTACTTTGCAGACACAAGCAATGTGAAATTTATTTTTAAGTAAAAATTATTATCTAAATGTCTCTAACTCAGATATGTTACTTTGCCTTTCTGCTATGGTGAGTATTTTTAATTACAACACTCACAAACTTTCCCCTAATACTTTTGAATTGTAAACCCATTCTTAACTCATAACGGTGGTAAGTACGTTTTGTGAGCATCACCATTCCCTGTATCTGTTGAGCATTCATAGGTATTTTAGTAATTATAATGTGTACCATATACTTCGTGGTATGTGGAATATGCAAACTGTAGAGAAGACACTCGAGTTCATAAACAAGAAAAGAACCAACCAGTTAAGTTATTCGCAAATGTCATATATCATAGATATTTCCTTTAAGCTCTTAAGCTAGAATGGAATTTATCGAATTTTTCTGGTTCATTTTGTGTTTAATATTTAATTACTGATAAGCATTGAATGAATGCTGAGCACTGTGCTTGGCATTTCATGGCAGAAAAAAAAAATTCATGTTACCAGCTTCTTTTTCAAAGAGTTTATAAACTATGCATGGGAAACAGGAAATATACACACAAAACAGTTCTTGAATCTGATAAAATATTAAGGTGTAACACAGAAGCCTAAAAGCATCTAAATATATAAGTACCATAATGTAAATAATACGTTTTAAAATGGTTTAAATTTTTACAGAAACACTTAATGGAAGGTAATATATCCCACTTGTATAGTTGGGAAAATAAAGTGCTCAGAGAAACAACATTGCTTTATTATAGGCAAGGTGACATAAAGGTTAACGCCTCAATCATACTGCCTCAGTTTGAATCCCAGCTCTATCAATAACTAAGGGACCTTGAGCAAGTGATATACCTCTCTGTGCCTAGTTTCTTCATCTGTAAGATGAAGATAATACCATCTATCTCACAGGATTCTCATGAGGATTCAGTGAGTTAATCTCCATATGATACTTAGAACAGTTTCTGGTACAGACTAAATACTATAGGAGCGTTCACATATTCTTTGGACATAAGACAGTGAAAAGTGAGACTTGGACCTCCTGAATAACAAGCCTATAAAAAAAAAGTCTTACAAGGTTAATGAATAAGGCCCATTACCATCCTAGCATCTCTACAACTCTGCCAACATTTTTTGATTAAGTCCTGTGGCATAGTTAGACAAGTAATATAAGATCACCATTATCTTAGGTTAAAAAACTAGTAATTGCTCATATAGAAGTGAATAAATCTTGAGTGTTCGAAAGTAAATCTTCGTACACAAAGAAATATTTTCCATTTACTACTCTGAAATCCTTATATTTTTCCAGACATGAGTGCCATTCAGTAAATGTTTCAGCACCTTTGTTTTTTGCACATCAGGAAAAAAATTTATTCCTTTTTTCTTCATTTCCTATAATTCCTATATGAAAAAAGAGTACACGTTAAAGATAAGATACCTAGATGTTTGATAATTTACCCTCCACTATCAGTAACTTGTGCTTTTTATTCAACAAATCCAGACTGTGTTTAAAAAAACAAAACAATGTCTGTGAGAGCTTTTAAAAAGACTCCTGTGGAAATCCCACACACAGAAATCCATTTGGTAATAGTATTTAAAAGCTCACGGATCCCTAAGGAACCAGGAACTTCTACCTTGAATATCCTTTTGAATAGAGAAGAGTAACAGATGTGAAATGAGGAAGCAGACAATGTCTGTGCTGTAAGAGTAGATCAGCAAAATGATATATGGAGATCCTTTCATTCACTCATTCATGTGGAGCAATCTTAATAATGAAAGGTTTCTTTAGCCCATCTTTTCAGCAATTTATATATTTAGAATTTGATCCATGTGTCTCTGCTTTTTCAGGTTCACAGTCCAACCTCGTATCTGTGCAGACCTGATGGAACCACTTCTGCCTACTTTCCTCCTGTTTTTACAAAGGTCTGACATCTGCAAGTCTCATTCTCTGTTTGCTTTCATGCATAAATTCCATTCACATGTGGCTTCGTGTAGTAGCCTTTAAAAATTAAAACAGATCAGTAGACTGGTGATCACAGTTACCTTTGGGACTAAGTAGATATTCATTGAATGATTACTGTGCAAGTATAATCTTATGAAGGTTCTGAGACGTGTGAGCGTGGCCAGTGACCTGATAGAGCTCAAAATAAGGTACAAAAGCCAAGGTAGTTAGGGGAAAAAAGACAAAATTCTACATAGGGTATTGCTCGGAACTGGTAAGTTTTATAAAAATTAAAAAAAAAAAAAAGCTAATTTTCCATTTGTTCTAAGTTGGTGTTTTATACTGCCAGGTTGAATGAAATCCATTTCGTTGGTCAGCTGCTAAATTCAGAAATGGTTCCATTTGGCATTTCTTCTCCCGCTCCTTTTTTGGAGAAAATTATAAAACTTGATTTATCTGTGACTTTTTAAATGTCTTTCAGTAAAGATATATAATGCCTATGGACTGGTAGACTGTAAAGAAGTCATGACTCTTAGTTGAATTTAATGCAAATCTAGCTAAAATTCCAGCGGGTTTCTTGTTTTCATTTTTTTGATATTGAACTTGGTAATTTGATTCTAAAAGTTTAGTGGAACAAAAAATGGCTAAGAACAGCTGAGGCACTCCTAAAGAAAAATAGAATGGTTTTAGGGAAAGGATGGGATTTGTCCTCTGAGATAAAGATTTTCTAAAGGTATAGTATGAAGATAGTATGGAGCTGACACAAGGCTAGAAATTGACAAGTAACCAGAATAGAGCCCACAAACCACTGGGTAAAGAATGATTTTTTTTAGCAGAAGTGAAATATATTAAATTAGACTCCTACCTCACACTTTTCAACAAAAATTAATTCTAAGTAAACTAAAGACAAACAGGACAAACAAATCTATAAAACATCTGTGAGGCAAATGAGTAGAGCATCTTAATTATGTAGAGAACGATTTTTTTTCTCCTAAGCCAGCCTGTACTCAGCTTTATTAAAGATCTTTCCATAAATAGCATTTACTATAAGACACAAGCAACTAATGACAGTAGTTGGCAATAACTTTGAAAGTCCCATCCTGGATAAACTACCAAAAAAAAAAAAAAGGTCATGTAAAAAGCCAACCAAAACCAATATCACTGTAATGACCAGTGAAGTCGACCTTTGATGCTAGAACGGAAAATGTTTGCAGAGGGGTGGACACTTCCCATTTATATGTAGTTTAAGAAATTTTCACAAGCATCTTCTCAAGACCATCACCAGAAAGTCTGTGTTACCTGATGTGTTATTGCCCAGGACACAGGTGATTTTGGGGATACCAGGGCCCAACATACCTCTTGGTTTAAGCAAATAAAGCCCATGCTGGAGGCATCAGGGGAGGAAAAGAGGATGTAAGATTTTTCTTTCCCTCCCCACAGGGCTTCACCACGGTGGCCTGGTATGTGGAAATGTTACAGGATTCCTCCCGGGCACCAGGAGAAATCCTCAAGCACTAGACACAAAACTGTGGTTCGTCCACCGCAGTCCAGCTCCTAAGATGTAGGCATTCTATGCAGCATTCTGTGTAGCTTAGTAAAAAGAAATGTAAAACAAAATTCTACACTATTAAGGTTGATTTTAAAAAAAAAAAACTCACACTGTTTAGTGGTGAAAGCCCAGCACCTCCACTGCCCGTGTCCGGACTATGGCATGTCTGTTTTCTGCAGGGTTGTTTCCTTCCTTGCTTGCGTCTGCTCTTCCTTTCCTTTCCTCTTTTTCCCTTTGGGCAGTTCCTATCCCCATTTTGCAGGGTTCTTTGTGGACCTGGGCTTTGTTTACTGGAGGGGCAGTTTTAGGAAATAAATCTGCCGATCTCCGTAACTCAGCCTAGCCTTTGCCTTGTCTGCCTTAGCAGCATCTTTGGCCTTTCTCTTGGGTATAATGATTGACAATGGATGGCAGGTAGGCTTTGCCAGTTCAAGGGGTAATTCCATCTATTTTCTGGTACTGCTCTGGGAAAGATTTTCAGGTTTCACAGCTGGTCAGAGCCACAGCCAGTGCCTCTACCTTCCAGCTTAGCAGGGGCAGCAGAACTGGTGTGGTCCGTGGGGCTGGGAGTAGTAGGGATGCACAAGGCCGGGAGAGCAGCTAGGTCCATGTCGCATTTCTTCCCAAGTAGTTAGACCCCTCCAAGGAATCACAATATTATTTGGACTTGATGTATGTCAGGAGATGCCCTTATATGGACCCTAAAATACTCAGGGGTTCCAAATCCTACCCTAAATGGATGATCCAGATTGCCGAGTGTGGCCTCTGAAGGTTGCCTCTCTGTGCCCTTCAAGACTCCTCTTTATGTTCCTGCAAGTTCTCCCAATGGCTAACTATGTTTAGCTGTGACTTTCGCCAAGGTAAAGTTTGCTACAGAAAGAGCCAGATTATAATCCTGGAATAATATGGAGTTTTTACTGCTTAAAGTCCTCGGCATCTACCCGTTTCCTGCCTTGCTGACTTTCTAATGTTTGAACAAAACGCATAACTCTAGGAATAAATCAGAGTCTCTTTGGTGCCCGTAAGCTCAAACATGGAAAATATTTGTGTACCGCTTGTAATCTACCATGAATGGCTTCCTGGACAAGCGTGGAGGTGTTTAATAATTAATCCACACAGGCTGGGTTCCTGAGCGACACTTTTTCTGGTATGATCTACTAAATTAGCTCTTTCTGGACCCAATCAGAAACTAAACGTCAATTTAAAACCAGAAGTTATCTACATTTAAAGATAAGGAGAAATAATGCAAACAGAAGTAGTTAATAATCTTAACATTTTCATTTGAAGAAATTCTTAACCACCAAAATTCTTATCAAATGCCTTCTCAGACTTCACATTAGACTTTTACAGTTCTTTTGCCATCACCATCAACCTTTAGAATTTCCACAGAGCACCAAAGACCACAGGATTTGTTTTTTCCAGCACAACACTGTTGTCTTTTCAGAGAATTTAAAACAACTAAAAAACCCCCACACACTTCCTAATGCGAATTTGTTTGCTTTTGATCTATTCATACGTGAATTACTTTATTATAATTTAAAGAGTTCTGCATACCCTATTATCAGATCTAATATTCTATAGTCAAAAGTTCAAATAGTCAAAAAGTTTAAGGAGGCTTCATGGCTAAGTAATCGTGGAGGAGGAAGGTAGAGAGGGGACATATATAAGAGAACTATTAATCTTTTGATATTTAATAACAAATGTAAAAGTTGTACCTCTTTGCATCTATGAAGTCAAATTAATTTCTGATCTGTTGGATTGTAAAAATTTATTGGTCTGGAGTTGGAGCGGATGGAGGAGCATAAGGGGTAACAGGGAGGAGGAAATGAAGGCCAAGAAGAGAGAAGTGCTGCATGTTTTATCTTACGCAGAACCTCAAAATGAGAAAATATCAAACCCTTTATCTTCATAAACCTGACACAGGGAAGTAGTTGGGCAGAAGTGGATGTGAGGGGAATACATGAAAAGGCTGGAGCGTGTGAAAACAAGTGTGTATGTCTTTTTTTTTTTTCTTCCTATCTGGTTTTCATAGGAATCTACATTCGTACAGTGTGTATTTGTTTTAAGAAGTTTGCATTCCAACAGCTTACTCTTAAACATAGATAAAGAAAGGTAACAGTTGTTACCGTAAAATCGCATAACTATGAAAGAATCAATAAATTAACAGCCCCGTAATTTCTACAGGCCCAGTGGTAAACCTGACTAATTTCATTACACGGAGATTATGAAATGCTGACAGTCAGTGGATTTAAAGGTGTTTATCTGTACCTGAGTTAGTGGTAATTCTTTTATGATACAAGTTTTGCATTTTTCCTCTAAAATTTGAAAGTCCTATTCTTTGCTGCGAAATTGTGTAAGAACACACAGAAGTCTGATGGTCAGTATTGTCCTTGAATTTCAGGAACTGCAAAACATTGCAGCATCAGAGGGCCAGGTGGTGGTTCTGGAGTGTCGGGTACGAGGGGCACCCCCTTTGCAGGTCAAGTGGTTCCGACAAGGGAGTGAAATCCAGGATTCTCCCGACTTCAGAATTCTACAGAAAAGTAAGGAGAGGTGCCCATTTTCTCAAATCTAACCATTGTCTTCTCTCAAGTGTCAGAAAAACCAGGAAGGGTTGAGTCATTCAAATGAATTGCTTTCTGTTTTTAAAGAGAGGTGAGAAGAGATAATCTGCAATTGACAAGGGTTTAAGTAAGTTAAAGCTGGGGTGCTCCCTTGTGGAGCCCTTTGAAACTCTCATGAAAGTTATATGTTCTTTCTTTAGAAAAAAAATGCATATACGCATTTGAAATGAAAGTTGGGCAAATGATTTTAAGAGGCCCATGAGCCTCCTGTAAGGCTTTCTATGAACTGCAGTTATTAAATAACTTTCTAGTGTAAGCCATTACTGGAATTTGTTTCTGTATTCATAACAACATAAATTGGTCTACTGTCACGTTTTGTCTGTGGTATTCTGGAGTTTACCTATAACCTTTCTGCAGATATGTCCTAGACAAGGTAATGGGAAAAGATAGGTAAGTTTATTAATGGAACTCCATTCTAATACTGTTTTTTACTTTTTTTTCTCATATGGCAAACAGAACCTAGATCTACAGCTG